ATCGAAATCTGATCAAACTAAATAAAATGTGTAATAACATGGAAATTCGGTATATAATTAATATAATAAATTAAACAAAATACATGGTTTTTCGGGCTTTAGGTATCCATTACACAATTTTAAATATTTCGGAGTTTCACTTCACGATTTTGCACATTTAGGGTTTTACTGGTGTTTTTTTTGTTTTAACAGCACAAACATTTGGTCTCTACTTAAAATAATATATTTTCGAGCTAGAAAAATCGAGAAACCCTATATTCGTACTTTCTAATTTGAACTTCAACAACTAAAAAAAAAAGAAGGATAATTCATTAAAACCAGAAACCATCAGTTAATAAATGCGTACTTTCACAATATTAGAAACAAAAAATAAACTGTAATAACAACAATAATAAAAAAAGCTATATCAAAACAATTATATAGGCATCTATAGGATAAGTATACGTATTATAGTACCACAACCATAAAGGAATTTTATAAAATTTTAAAAATTCTTATAATCTTCACATTAATAATTTAAAAAGAACATAAGTTGGCATTGTACAACTGTATATATTAAAAATTAAGATAAAAATATCAATTCCTAAACTATATTAATTTTGTTTAATAATATCAGCTCTAAACATACTAATTTTACAAATACCTATTTATTATTTAAAACATAATTTATTGAACTATATTTAAATAAATTTACATCATTTTTATATTCTAATCAAATAAGAGAAATGTTTTGACAATTGAAAAACTATTTGCCAAACAAATCTGGTTAAAATAATAAAGTTATTAAATAATAAAATTCATATCAGGCCGGATTTAATTCCGCGATATAAAACCCTAGCTCACCGATTGGTCTGTGGCCCTTGTGACTGTTTATACTAGCGACGCTGATGGGAGAGATACGCTAGGATCTCCTAGAATCCTGCTTTGCCTTCTACATTCGGAGTTCCCAAGGTGAATTTAAATATTTTACATTCAAATGAATGTGTTGTATACTATATATTTTGCTATAGATATTTGTCCGTGGTATTTTTTTATTTACGAAAATTCCCATAAATGGGACGTTTACTTGTTAAATTAATTATTTTAATAAGGTACTAAAAACTCATAAATACTCATTTACTTTCTACTTGAATCGTTAGATAATTTGAACAAAAATATTGTCCGTTAGCCGATGTAAAATCGTTATTTTGACATGTTGGGAGTAAAGGTGGCCCAATATTTTTGTAGGTCACCTTTTTTCTTGGTTCTGTAACGAGTTCGATTCAATTTAAAAGTATAATAATGTTTATGATTTTAGAGTATCTAATTAAATAGACAAAGATTGCCAAAATCCAGATTGAAAACACCCCAATTCCGAGAATTTTCGGACCTATAACCTTAAAAAGTCATAGGTTATGACGAGATGAACTTATTTAAGAAGTTTTAGGCGGATTTTGATAATTTGACAAGGGGTCCCTACCACGGACTATATCTAGTTTATCTATCATTGCATTCTTATATGAAATATACAAGTATAATTCAACTTATTTTTATATACTAAAAAATTACATGTATATAATATAAATGGATACTTATAACCCTTAAGTGTGATAGCTTCTATCACTATTATAAAAAAAAAAAAGCTCTAGTGTGTCACTGTACGTGCTGATTGTATCGCAGCATTGAATAAAAATAAAAATAATAATTTCGTTCCGTTATGCATCCGCTCATGAACAACAGGTTAGCTTGAAGATACATAAAACAAGCCTTTTCTAAGTAATTTAATATAATATTTTAAATAATATATATAAATATTTTGAATATAATTTAAATAATGAAGATAGGCAGTTCCTTTAAAAAAATAAATAATAAATCATCTTAAAAAGCCGTTGAATAGGCCAATTACAGTTACCTTGACAGTTTAGAAAAGTAGAACGTGGTTCAATGAAACCCTTGTTTATTAAAAATTCATCGGTCAATTGAGCTATAATACAGTAATCGCCGGCTGGTTTCCTAAGAAAAACTTTCACCTAACTTTTCAATGATCGTAAATAATCTAAGAAGTTATTTCTATCGATACCCTGGGCAATACTGCTTAACATGTGAAACTTATTACCGATCGATAAAAAAAACGTTCCGTGATAGGTTATCTGGAACTCACATTGACGGGAGATATCGCCCTTTCACGCTGTCTCATTGTAAGAACATTAAATTATGTTTATAATATATATGAGGCCATTAAAACCCAATTGGTTACGGTAAATTTCTAGATATCAATATCTGTACACTGATACAATAACATAGTTTGATATCCTCCGACACAAGTCATAGATACCGACTAAGATCTAAGATCCAATTACTAATACCATTAATTTATTATCGTTCATTAAAAAAGTGTGTTATCAGTCTACAATGACTTTTTATATTAACTTCTTGAAGATTTTATGACAGGCTATAAATATCTACCTGCCAAGCCAGTAAAATTAGATAAGAAAAATGAAAACGTTTCAACAGCAGTTGAAAGTAGGTAATAAAAAATGTTGACAGGGTTACTAGCTTAATTTTTCATTTTTTTTTTTTTTTTCAAAAAATACGATTTAATTTTCTTACAGAGTATAATTGGAGGTATGTATATAAAAAGCCCATTTTACACGCACATGTTTCTTGACCAAAGCTAAATCCTATATTAGTTATATAGGAAATAAAATATTAGTTAACTTAAGTTTGGTTATTAAAAACCAGAGTAGATTACCACGATTTAATAGTTACTTTTAAACTATTAAGTTTCTAGTATAAAGTTGATTTTTTTTTATTTTTCTCGCTAGGAGTGCCCAGAATGTAACATTGCCTTGCGATTCTACTTGGAAAGTTGTTTTTGATTTGCATTAAAAAAATGAATTACCATTTTCGTTCATTAAACTTGAAATAGGGTGTGATATGTACTATGTATTAAAGTTCAGGGTCAATCAATTAAAAAAAAAAACTAAATTTACGTCAACCCAATTAAGTACCTACAGAGAAATAACTTTGCCATAATAAAAATGTATAGTGATTTGGATTCAACAAATAGGCTGGGTGTATTTATTATATTTATCATCGGAATGCAGAAAATAAATATTTGCTGATAAGCTAAACCAAGATTTCAAAGTACTGCTTAAAGAGAAATGTATAATAAGGCATACCTGGTAGGATTTCTATGAAATGTTTTAATATTCAAAATAAAATAGATTTTTTGCTTATTAAATTTAAAAAGTAAAAGATGAAATAAAAAATGATTAATAGTATTTTCTTTTTAAAAATGTACTCATATATATATATATATATATATATATATATATATATATATACATTTTAAATATTGCAGATTAAATAAATTAAAGAAGGTTCCTTCAAGTCATTAGCACGAGAATTCTCGTCAGCCGAAATCGAGCTTAGAAATATTTGATGTCGATGGAGTTAAATTTTAAATAGAATTATTTTACCTTGTAACTACAACACTGGTTAGAAATAATATGTATGCAAAACATATACAAGAATGGAGTCATAAGAAGGGAGAATGAGAATGTTTATTGTTAATTGTTGAATAAACATGAACCAACAATTTTTTTTTATTTTTTTTTTTGGGTGCGGGACTTATTTTATATTGATCAACGTTTTGAAGCATATTTCAGGAAATAAAAAACAATGATCAAATGCCCTACAGAATCATTGATAAATTTGACAAAGCGTCACTTTTGTTATAAATTGTTCAGAAATAAAAAATAGATTGTATATAAAGAATTTACAGTTATTTTTACAATTAACAATAACAATTATTTTTATTCAAAATATATTTACACAAAAGTAGATCCACTGGATTTTAATCTCATAACTCACATCCTATCTCATAACTCCCATTATAATAAAAATATAAAATAATTGTTTTTTCAAATACTGTATTTTAAATTGAAAGAGAAGTTGGTTGGGGTGTTCAGCATAACAAAAATAAAATTTTAAATAAGTACCATTTATTTTTATTTTTATTATTCTTTTTTTACTTAACGTCCCAACCTACTTCCCTTCAATTCTTCACTACAGTTAACCATTAATCCACCATTATTAATCTGTACTTTAAAATATTATTTAAATTACTTTTTGTCCAGATCAACAATAAAATTATCTTTTAATAGTTTATATTAAATAATAAATCCGTTTTATTTGATAATTAATACAGTATGATAATTAATGTAGTTATAAATCATTAAATGAATAATTTGAGATTTACCCGTCTTCTAGTTTAATTCGCATATTCATTTTTAAATCTTCCATGATAATTTTTTTTTTTGTTAACTTATTGA